CTTTCTCCACCTCTTCTCCCACACTTGCTTTGATTAAGCCAGCTGCCATGTTGTGAGTTGTCCTATGGAGAGGCCCACGTGACAGGAAACTGAGGCTCTCTAGGGCCCATGAGGAACTAAATCCTGTCAACAACCATGTAGGGAAGCTTGAAAGTGGATCCTCCCCAACTGGAGCCCTCAGCTGAGAATGGTGTCCAGTACAACACCTGTGAAAACCGAACAGTAAAAATCCCTGAAGCAGAGGACTCAGCTAAGCCATGCCAGGATTCCTGACACACCGAAAGTACAAGGTAAATGTGTGTGCTGCTTTAAGCTGCTATGGTTGGGGGTAGTTTGTTACACAGCAAAAGATAACTAATACACAGAGGAAGATAAAAACAAAAACAAAACAAAATTAAAAAAAGGAAGCAGAGCATAAAGCAGAAGAGAAAACAAAGAAACAATAAGCATTCAAAAAATAAACAGACATAACAGATCAAGTTAAACATATCTAATTAAAATAATTTCAAGTAGGATAGAATAAACCGGTTTTTTTGTTTTGTTTTGTTTTGTTTTTTGAGATCCAAGTATCATGTTTATTACTGGTAAAGAGGTCGTTGTTGAAGAACATAGCTGGCTTCTGCTCAGTGAGTGGGCTTCTACAACTCCCCTCAGCTCCACTTTCTCTCCATTCATAGAAGCCTGCCTCATTAAAATCACAGGGCTGCCTTCTCAAGAAGACCTTTGCTGTCTCCTTTCAGACTACAACCCTCCCATCTCCTTTCAGACTACAACCCTCCCATCTATGTTCATGCCATTTGCTCATTTTTTTACAAGATTGCCTATTTCCTTATTAGAATAAACCGTTTTTAAAAAATGATTAAATGGGACAGAGACACTTTATAATGGCAAAGGATATACAACTCACAATGAAGTTATTATTGCTAGTATGAATCTTCATATATCAAATAATAGAGCATTAAAACACATAAAGGAAAACGTCAAGAAATAAATAAATAAATAAAAGAAATGTTAGGAGACTTCTTCCAAAATCTCCTTCCCGCAAGGCTCCAAACATCCCCTAATCTGTCTCCATGTTCCAGCCCTCCCCAACCCCTGAAATTCTTCCATTGAGTCCTCTGGAATTTGTGATTCCTCTCCCACATCAGTTTTCATTGTTACCACTCTGGTTCAAGCCATTATTATTTCTTGCCTGGGTTACCGCAATAGCTCCTTGCCTATTCAGCTTCTGCCATTGCTCTCTATGATCTCTTCTAGATAGAGCAGCCAGGATAACCCTTCCAAAATATGCCTGACTATGTCACTCCTCTGCTCTAAACTCTCTGGCAGCTGCCCATTTCATTCAGCGTGTAAGCCGAAGTCCCTACAACACCCTACAAGCCCTACATCGCCTGTCCCAACCCAGTGGTCACCCTCAGTCCTCCTCTCTCCAGTCCAGCCACACTGACATCCTGGCTGTTTCTTGAAAACTCCAGCCACACACTCACCTTGTGGCCTATGCCTAACTGTTTTCTCTCTCTGGAATGTTCTTCTCTCAGAAATCCACACAGCAATTCCCTTACCAACTCCAAAACTTTTCTTGAATGTCACCTTCTCAATAAAATTTATCCTGATCACTATATTTAACCTTTCAACCTACACTCTCCTGTCTTCCCAGTCTCCTTTATCCTACTTTATTTTTTCAAAACACTTTCTAATATGCCATAGAATTTACTTATTTAGTTTATGTTTATTATTTATTGTCTGCCTCTTCCCACATTCACATTAGAGTATAAGCTCCATAAGGGCAGAAACTTCTCCTGTTTCATTTATTTATGTAGCTCAAGTATCTAGAAAGGTGCCTAGTACATAATGGGCACTCAAAAGATATTTGTTGACTGACTGACTGAATACATGATTCTCAGCCTTGTCAAACCTAATGCCTCTTTTCATAACAAATACGGGGCAATCCGCTCTTTAACAATGTGAAAGGAAAGTCGTAAACTACCTACACATATAATTTTTTTTAAAATTCAAAATGATGCCTTAACTGTAATATAAAGGAAAAAGTAAATGTGTGATTCATTATGGAACTGCTCAGGCATCCCTAAACTAAAAGACACAACGAAGCAATCAGATGTTTGATTCACCTGTAGAATCACCGTGAAATGGACAGCCATAAAATGAACTGTATTGGTGATTCAAATTCCAAACACTGTATTGCCATTCAATGTACTGCATTCCAGGAAAAGTCAATACATCTTAAAACTGTGTGAAAAACACTTTATGTTTATATATAAAAGAGATTCTAGGCTCGAGTAAATATAAATAGGTTTTTCATCTACATGAATGGACAGTAGAATAGTCGTCACACAGAATGTAGGAAATTCTTTGCTATGCAGTCCTAGCCTGGGCACTGCAAGATATCTAGCATCTTTTGGCTCCACCAACTACATTCCAGTAGTTCTCCCCAGTCCCTGGGACAAGGAAAATCACTCTGGTAAATTTCCAAAACAACTCCTGGAGGTAGATCCATCCCAACAGACTGGTTCTGTAAATCCAGCAGGATGCTTTTCTATTGTCATTGGCTACCTCTCTATAGCATTTGACCTGTTAATGAGATCCTCTTCACTTCTCCTTCCTTCCTTGACTTCCGAGTCACGGCCCTCCTGCAGCTTTCCCAATTTCACTTCCACAGTTCCTGCCAGGTGTCATTGACTCTTTACCTCCCCTTGCCCATCTCCGCTGCCCTTCCTTAAAAAAAAAAAAACGATTTGTTTATTTGAGAGAAAGAGAGAGCAGGGGGAGGGGCAGAGTGAAAGGGAGAGAGAATCTCAAGCAGACTCCCTGCTGAGGGCGGAGTGCCAGGCAGGGCTTACCTCACAACCCTGAGATCATGACCTGAGCCAAAAGCAAGAGTCCGATGCCTAACCAACCGACTAAGCCACCCAGATGCCCCTGCCCTTCCTTTTTCCACTCCACATGATCTTCAACTCCCTCACCTAAGGAATTGACTCTCAAAGTTCTGTTTCTACACAGGATACCCAAATTCACACTTCCAACTGACACTCTGTCAGAAAGCCTGTAGTTATACATGTCCAAAATCAAACTAGTCACCTTCCTCTAAAACCTATTATTCCATCCATTGTACCTATCATCCACTTAGGCAATCTAGAAATGACAATCATCTTTGTTCCCTAGTCCTCACTGCCACATCCAGTTGACTGCACTGCTCTCTGTCGATTTTGCCTTGGAAGTGTCTCATACCTGTTTCCTTTCTTTTACTGTAGTTCAAGCTCTCATTACCTGTGACTTAGAATACTGTTACAGCCTCCTAGCTAGTACTTCTACTCCAATTTATCTTTTGATATTTCCACAAAAGGAGGTAATAATAGTATTTATTAGTATTTATAAATAATATTTATATTTAGTATAGTGGTGATCGAGTGCTCATTATATGCCAGCCACTATACTAAATGCTTCCCATCTCTTTTAATCTGCACAACCACATCATAAAGTAGGAGTTATTATTATTGAAATTTTAAAGATAGGAAAAGAGGTTTGGGGAAGTTAAGTAACTTACCCAAGGTCATAGAGCTAGCTCCAAAGTGACACCAGCATCCCAGCTCTATCTGGCTTCTAAAATCCCTGTTGTTTTTGCCTTTTTTTTTTTTTGATACAACTTTTTCATATTGCCTCTAGTCTCATCACAACCTTCTATTCAGTCTCTACATTTTTCCCACCTGCCATTTCCTTCCTTATCCATCTACCACTTTTCCATATTGCTTCTAGACTGATCACAACCTTCCATTCTGTCTCTATCCTTCCCAGTCCATTCTTCCAATCCACAGGTTCTTTGGTTTTACTTATCTCCTTACTTTGTAAGGATTTATTCATCAGCTATTTCAAGAGAGTCCTTCACAGCAGGTTCCTCTTCTTTCACTGCGCCCACCACATCTGCCCTCCTTCTCCCCACTCTCTTCCCAGCTGCTGAGAGCAGGGTTAGAAAAGGGAATGAATAAAGCAGATACAAAAAACTCCCTGCATCTTAAGTTTTTCTCTGCCTAACTCAGTGTTGTTTTATGGTTCCAACGTAATGAACGAAATAAAAGGTGTTCTGTAAACTGTAGAGTGCTCTACAAATGTAAAGTGCTATATATTCACCCTACCTTTGCATGCCCCGGGCTTCAACTGAGTTACTCTGTGAACGACGGCAAAGGTGTTCCAAGTAGAGAACGCCACGTTTGCGTTCGGAGTTAAGGAAGAGTAAGGCCCCAAATAATATGAATTTGGCTCGGGAAATGTCTACTTTGTCGTTATTGCCCAAACCCAGCTTAAAACTTCATCAGGACGTGAGCGAGTAAGACAGGGCGATAATGGTATTGGCCTGAAACCCCCCAATTTAAAACTCTCTCTCGGACTGTTCCCCTCCCCCCTCCCTGGAGGTTTTAAGTTCTTGCAAACGTCTTCCCCGACTTTCACAGGGCCCCCGCCCTGTGCGCTCCCTTCCTGACCTCTCCGCTTCCTGGTGGCCCCAGCCCTCGGACCCCCGCCCCGCCCGCCGGCGGAGGACTACAAGTCCCGGCGTGCCGCGCGCCCGCCCGGCCGGCTGCACCAGGGCTGGGCGCGTGGCGGCCGCCGAGCTCTGCGCGGGGGAAAGCCTCCCGGCGCCGGCCGTGCGGGGAGGTAAGTGATACGCTCGTGCTGCGAGGGCACTGGGAACGCGGCCACCCTCTCCCCTCTCCAGGATGAAAGGAAACGAAGAAAACCACAATAAAAACCGCCCTGCCCTCCCTCGTCTCTGCTGTGTGTCCGGTGCTCCTGCAGCTTGTTGCACCCGCGAGCGTGGAATCTGTCACTCTGGAGTGGAACTGGGGGCAGAAGCGTGCCTGGCTCCGCGGAGAGCCGCGGCCCGCCGGGGCCGCGGGGCAGAGCTCGCAGGATGGGACCGGGTGGTGGCACGGCTCGGCTGGGCGCCCAGCGAGCGCCACACCCCCACACTCCCTTTCCACAGACGGGCTCCCCGGGGAGCCCCCAAACTCAAAGACGAACGGTTTCTTCTTGAAAGTCTTAGTCAGAAACTTTCCCCTCTTGTCGCCAGTGCCACCAGCGAGTCGTTTGTCTATCGGACGGCGCCGCTCTGCCAAGAGGCTTCCTGGCGTCCCCTCTCCTGCCCTCAGTCTTGTCCCACCGCTCGCTCTCCAGGCCGCTCCTCCCTCTCCCCCGAGACGCCCTTAGGGACGCGGTGAGCTTGGCCCTGCCCTCCGGCGACTTGTCGAGATTTCTTCTGCAGCCACGTGGACCCAGGTCTGCACTCTGCGATGTGGGCTGGACACTCCTGCGGGCCGATTCCTTGACGGGAGGCAGGGCGAGTGGTTCCTTTGGGACAGCGCTGGGTCCCGGGGTGGGGGCTGGGGTGGGGGGAATGAGTGCTGATCAATAAAAGAAGCCCGATCAGAGGCACCGGTTTCCCACCCTTGCTGACTCATCTCCCCTCTTGAGCCCATTCCCAAGTGTGCCTGAAAGTTCTGCTTCAGAATCCCAACACGAGGATCTTCCAAGTTATTCTAACACATTCCATAATATCCTGGATCAGAAGATCTTGTTTGTCTGCCTCTCTCTCACCCTACACTTAACACACTACACACACGCGCCCATAAAAACACACTCTGCACACTACACACTCTACACACGCCACAAACACAGAGCATACACATTACACACAGCATGCACATTACATTCATCACATAAACATACATACCCACACTTCGTTTATGCTACAAGGCTACATACACATACCATATACAACATACATGCATACACACTATTTTTATTAGCAGAGGGTTAAAACAGTTTGTTGGAGAGAGTGAGGAGGAAGTGGGTGAGTACTAGTATATATACTTATACCCACAAATGTCAATTTATTCCACAGTTAGAAACTAGATAAGTGAAACCTGCTGTTGTTAGAATTCAGAATGCTTTCTTGACTCCTTTTTGTTTTTCTTCCATAAAATGGGATTGATTTCCTACATCACCTTCTGAAACCCTTACCATTATCTAACAAGCAAACTTTTGATCACAGCAGGGGAGAGAGAAGATGTCCTCTATGCGTAGGAAGAAAATCTTGGGGAAACTTCACAGAAACCTTCCTACTGTAGGGGTGTCTAAGGAAAAGTCAGGTGTAACTACATTTTCTTTGCCTCTCCTTCCAAGATTCAGAGCTGAACTGATTTTGTTCTGAGCAATGGCATGACAGTGCTGTTGAGACACGTTTCCCAAACCCCCCTTTGCCCCCCAGGACTCACAGCCCAACCCATTTGAATTTAGTTGGAGCACATTTCAGGAATTTCAGATCAAGTCCCAAAACATTATGAAATCTGTTGGTGAAAGGGCTCTCTATCTCCAGAAGAGTTCATCATTTTCATCCATGGTAATAAGACTTACCTGTTTGACCAGACTCAAAAAATGGTCCTCAAAAATAAATTAACACTTAGAATTTGTCCCCAAATTATTGTTGTTGTTGTTGTTATTATTATTTTTAGAATTTGTCCCTAAATTATTGTTTGCTTTTTCAAAGGAGCAATGGTGAAGTTGGGCAGAGAGAGCATTTGAAATCTTTATCAATGATGATCTTTCATGAAGTTGAACATTTCTAATATTCTTGGAATGAATAAGGGAAAAAAATTTTGACTTTGAAATTCAGGTTGCAAATTTAGATTACAGTTTCTGATCTTCTTCTAGGGCCCTTAAAAATTACTAAAGAAAAGGGAGACCTGCTGCTTTCTCCTCAGTTCTTCCTGAACTCTACGCAGTCATATAGCAAAGGTGGTTTTTTTTTTTCTAGGATCCTTCTTGGTAACCTGTATTCTCTGCCCTATCTTGGTTTAGTTGACATCTTGACCCTAAAAGTGTCCAAATATTGATTGTTGTTTATTTCGATGACAGCTATGCATGCTTCCTGTGTATCTATGGCATATTTGTGGAATGGGAATGTTTCCCTTCAGCCGTGGTTCCCAGCCAAGCAAGGGAACTGTGAGATTGACCAGAGTAACTTAAAAGATCATGCCTAGTACTCTCTATGCCACCTTCCCATTTCCTGAATGGTAGGAGAAACTATGTTTGGGGGTTGGCATAGTATCTTCTTTTTCATATGTAACTAATATAGAACCTGGTGCTCATAGATAGTGTTAGGTAAATTTGTTGAATAATGCTTTGTGTGCAACTGGGATGAACAGTTAAGATTAAAACTCCCAGAACTAATTGTTTTTGTAGAATGAGATTTGTTTCATTTTGAATTTTGGCTGACTTCATCTGGTAGGTTGAATGCCAAAAGAAAAGAATGTAGGTGTTCTCAAAAGATCTGGTCATCCACTTTGCATCCTCTGAAATATGTTACTTCCTGCATAATGAAAAAAAGGATTTTCTGCTGGGCAGTGCTTTCCTTATTCTTAAAGAGATTACTTAAAAAAAAAAAAAAAAAAGTCAGCCCTGGGAACTTTGTCCATGAGTCTCTGTTAGGAAGAAAGAGTAACACAGGACTGCAGCTTCTGAGTATTCACTGGTTATAGCCAATAGTGCTGGGTTCTTTTATTTTCTCTTGTTTTTTTCCCCCATGGGGGAGAAAAATAGTTTTCAAAACATGACATTCCTCTTCAGAACAACATCAAGGATCTATCATGCAGCAACAACGCAGGGGAGGGAGAAAATAAGAGGCTATTGATACCGCTTGTTTTTCTTTACAAGACAGGTGCAGGGAGAATTCTGCGGTTCTTGGACTCCTGATTCATTCACTTCCACTAATTGTGCTGAAGGTAGTTAGCAAAAGTGAACAGGCACACTGTAGCTTTAAAAAGTCAGCCATGAACCAGAAGGCAGTTGGTGCAGCTTGTGTGTGATTCCTAACGTCATGTTGGCTGAGAGCCAGCCTGGTTTTATTTCACTGTGTCAAATTGTACCTCCTTATTGAATTCCTTTGCCAGCCTACTTTGTGAAAGAAAACATTGGGGTTTCTTTGGCTGTTCTTGATAAGCCTATAAAAAATGACATGTATTAGTTGCTTCTAGGTAGGTTTTCTTTTTACTCTTCCACAAAAAAGAAAATAATAATAATAATAATAATAATAAGACAATGTAGGATGGTGTTACAGAGTATCATTGTGAGTGTTTTGTTTTTTTTCTGAGATGCTTAGAAAATGGTGAATGTGTAACAGTTTCCAACTGAAGTGAAATCATTCTTTTGGCATGGAGCTGCAGCACTATCTTCTGTCTACTCTGTAACGGTGTGTGAATGTATGTTAATATCTATATGTAAATTAAATGTTGGATTTCTCTATGAATGATCTAAGTGGTTTAGCAACTGGAAGTTTGTGTGTGTGTGTGTGTGCGTGCACGTGTGTGTATGTATGTGTGTGTATCAGGAGTGAAGATTATCCCACACTTAACAGTATTATTTGTTAATCATCTACTTCTCGAACAGTGATAAAATCTTGTGACTATACTAAATGATGCACTTGTCGTGTCAGAGTAATCCCTAGAGAAAGAGTGCCGAAGTATAAAGTAATCTGAGAGGAAATGTATTTAATTTATGGCTTCGGCTGTAGAACAAGCACATTTCAGACCTAGTTTTTTTAAAGCAGTTTTGTTCATAGCTTTTTCATCTTGCTAATTGCATATTAATTGTGGAGGGTTTTAATTTTTTTTACTGTCCTCATCCTACTAAACAAAAAGACAAAGTGATGGATGCTACTATATCTCCTTGGATGTTTTGGTGATTTTTACCTAAATCTAATGAGCTGCCTCCCCTCTCTTACACACACACACACACACACACCAGCACCACCTTTCTGTGCTAAGGGCTATCTGACATTTTTGTGAGCTTCCAGCTTTACCACAGCATGGCCATCTCACAGACAGGCTTTAAGGCTTTCGTTGAGAATATGTGAGGTAGGGGAATACTTGCTGACAAAAGCTTTCAGTGCTCTTTTGCATTGCAATGAAAAAATAGAAGGTTTGTGAGTGGACAAAAAAAAAAAAAATGCAATTAAAAAAAAAGAAAAAGAAATCATAGCCCGTGGTCTGAAGGGGCAGGAAAAGGGGGATTGTTTTTCTCGACTTTGACTCATTTATGAGTTGCAGTGTCTTAAGTGAGAGCTTGGCACCCAGGGGAAGCTGTGCCAGTTCACACAGCACTTGTTTTGAACGAGGATTCAATTTCATTTGCAAATGCTTATTGTCAAGGCAGGGAGTGCCAGTACAGATGAAAACACCCCAATCCATCTCCTCCAGTTCTTTAGGTTTAATCACATCTCTCCAATCGCCGAGGGAACTGGAGGTTTAAACAAACATACGTGAACTGGTGTGAAGCTCTAAAAGGGACCATTACGGGGTTTCCGATTCAGAATATATATTCTTCTCTCACTTTCTAAGAATTAAACACAAGCTTTTCTCCCTTATTGATTAGTTGCTGAAGTAAAGGAACCCTGCAGCCTTCCCATGCTATCTGTTGACATGGAAAACAAGGAAAATGGCTCTGTCGGTGTAAAAAAGTAAGTGAAACTGGCTTGTGAGTTCTGCTTCTGCAAACAACAGAGGGACTTGGTTTCTATTTTTATACTTCTTGCTTATCTACTACAATACACTGTTTAGGGGTGATTTTGCATCCCCCCCAACCCCAGTTGCCTTTTTCTTTATTCCATTTCTAAGACAGAGATGACTCAGGCATCAAACTGTGCATAAAGGGTTAGGGTGTCAGGCTTTGGAACAGGGACGGTGGAGGATCTTAGCCCCGCATTCTGTATATTGAAACAAAACACTGAGCAAACAGACTCTGCCTTCCAAGTCCATAGGCTACAAGGGTGGGGGCAGAACAGAATTCCAGTCCTTTTAAATAAAACCACCTCTATCAAAACTGAGACCTGTAGTAAAGGAAAGAAAAAAGCTTTAGTTAGAATACGAAGTTGAACAACTCTGTCCTACTAATTTTATGAACTGATCCTTGAATGTGAAACATTTCAGTACATAACATAGTGTTCTGTTTTCATGTCTGTTCTCACATTTGAAACTTTGTTGTGAGTTATATGCTTGATTCTTTTAAAAAGGAATATTTAGTTGCATTATATAGCATATTCTGAAACATGCTACATATTTCAGGGTAACTCATAAGATATCTGTGAGTATATGAAAAATATGTATATCCCTATTTAGATGTTATTTTGAAGCTATAACTACTGTGACTACCAGGAGAAAGTAAGTTCCAAGAGAGTGTTATCTTCCATTTTTCCATGTCATTTAGTTTAAAACTGCCCTCAATTTGAGCTTTGGAGAAAACTAATTAAATATAATCCATAGAAGTTATGATATCTAAATGAGGAAACAGTGTGCTACATGTTTGTGAGTAGAGGGTATATTCTGTTTCACAGAAAAGTTACATTAAGGTAAACTTAATAAAACTGCTTTTAAAGATTCTCCTGTAATGTATATATATCAGTGCCATGCTGGCATGCTTATCCCGTTCTTGAAGTTTAGGGTAGGTGAATGTAGGAGAAATAAAAGAAACAGATGCACTCCCCCCCCCCCCCCCCCCCCCCCCGTATGAGTTAGATCAGTGCTTTCCAGTAAGTAGTACTTTGAACAGTGATGGATATGTTCTTCACTTGCGCTATCCAAAATGGTAGCCACTGGCTGTTTAAAATTTGAAACGTGACTAGTGTAAACTGATTAATTGAACTTTTAATTTTAAGCAATTTTAAAAGTTAACAGCTTTGTTGAAATATAATTGACATATAATAAACTGCATGTGTTTAAAGTATAAAATTTGTAAGTTTTGATATTTGTACACACCCGTGGAACCATTACCACAATTAAGATAACCCCCCAAATTTCCTCATAACCCTTTATAATCTCTCCCTCCTGTCCTTCCCTGCCACCATATCCCCAGGCAACCACTGATATGCTATCTGTCACTATAGAGTAGTTTACTTTTTCTACAATTTTATATAAATGGAATTATTAAGAATGTACTCTTTTGAGGGAAGTGTGGGGGTGTGGTTTATTTTACCCAGCATAATTAATTTAGGATTCACCCATGTTATAGTGTCTATCAATAGTTCATTACTTTTTATTACTGGGTAATATTTCATTGTGTGGATATACAATGGTTTGTTCACTGTTTATCCATCCACTTGCTGATAGACATTTGGGTTGTTTCCATTTTTTAGGTATTACAAATAAAGCTGCTTTTACCATTTGTGTACAGGTCTATGTGTGGACATATGCTTTCATTTTTCTTGGATATATAGGAATGGAATGGCTGGGCTATCTGGAAGGTGTATATTTAACTTTTAAGAAACTTACAAACTATTTTCTCAACTGGTTGTCATTTTACATTCCCACCAGCAATGTGTAAACATTCCAGTTGTTCTATATCCTCATGAACTCGGTATGATCAGTCTTTTTCATATTTGATATTATATTAGCTATAGTTTGCATTTTCATTTCCCTGATGACTAAAGATGTTGAGCATCTTTTCATGTGCTTATTTGCCATCCATACATCTTTCTTAAGTAAAATATGGTCCAAATCTTTTGCCCATCTTTTTCTTGGGCTAGTTATTTATATATTATTTTGTAGACAATTTTCATATATTCTGGATACAAGTCCCTTATATACATGATTTGAAAATATTTTCTAGTAGTATGTGACTTTTCTTTTCATTCTCTCTACAGTGTCTCTCAAAATGTAGGAACTTTTAATTTCAATGATCTCTAGTTTATTAATTTTTTATTTTATGAATAATGTTTATTTTTTTTTAAGATTTATTTATTTATACAAGAGCATGCACAGCAGGGTGGGGGAGGGGCAGAATGAGAAGGAGAGAGAATCTTAAGCCGGCTCCATGCCCACAATCACCCAACATGGGGCTTGATCTCATGACCCTGAGATCATGACCTGAGCCAAAATCAAGAGTCAGATGCTTAACCGACTAAGCCACCCAGGTGCGCCACGAATAGTGCTTTTATTGTCATGTCTAAGAAATATTTGCCTAACTTAAGGTCACAAAGATTTACATTTTCTTAGATTTGGGACTGTGATTTTTGAGTTAATTTTTGTGTATGCTGTGAGATAAGAAATTAGTTTCTGTTGTTGGCGGTGGTGGGGGGGGTTGCCTATGAATATCCATTTATTCCAGCCCCATTTGTTGAAATGTTCCTGCAACTTTGTTGAAAAATAATTGATTATATATGTGTGGATCTATTTCTGGACTTTTTTATTCCATTCATAATTTTGTTTGTATTTATGCGAATATGACATAGTTTTTATAACTATAGCTGTATAGCAAATCTTGAAATCAAGTAGGGTTATCTATTTAACTTTGTTCTTTTTCAGACTTGTTTTGTCTCTCCTAGGTTCTTTGCATTTCCAAATGATTTTTAGAATCAGTTTGTCAATTTCTACAAAAAAACACCTGCTGGTGCTTTGATGGCATTGTGCTGAATTATAGATCAACTTAGGGAGAATTGATCTCTTAACAATATTGTGTCTTCCAACCCATTAACACAGTATTTTTCTCCATTTACTTAGGTCTTCTGTAATTTTTCTCAGTGATATTTTGTAGTTTTCCATCTGTAGATCCTGCACATCTTTTCAAATATATCCCTACATAATTTTATAATTTCATGCTATTATAAATTGTATTGCTTTTTAAATTTTAATATCCAATTGTTTGTTGATAGTGTATAGAAATACAATTGATTTTTGCATATTTACCTCATATTCTACAAATTTGATAAACTCATTTATTCTAGTAGCTTTTTGGTAGATTTCATTAGATATTTAACATAGATAATCATGGGGGCACCTGGGTGGCTCAGTTGGTTAAGCATCTGCCTTTGGCTCAGGTAATCTTCTTAGGCTCCTAGGATGGACCCCTGCATCAAGTTCCCTGCTCAGCAGAAAGCCTGCTTATCCCTCTCCTTCTGCCACTACCCCTGCTTGTGCTCTCCTGTTCTCTCTCTGTCAAATAAATAAATAAATAAATAAATAAAATCTTTTTAAAAAAACCATAAATGTGTCTTGGGAGTAAAGACAATCTTACTTTGTCCTTCCCAATATGAATATATTTTACTTCTTTTACCAGCCTTATTGCACAGAATAGGACCTCCACTAACAAGTTGCATAGAAATGGTGAGGTTAGGCAAACTAGTTTTGTTTCTGTAAGGGAAAACATTTAATCTTTTTCCTATCTTTGGTTTTCTATATATAATGTGTCTCTTTTTTGTCTGCTTTTAAGATGTTTTTCTTTATCATTGATTTTAAAGCAATTTGATTATGAGACTTGGTATAGTTTTCTTTATCTTTCTTGTGCTTGGAGTTTTGTTTTGTTTTTTGGCTCAATGGACTTAGTTTTCGTTTTTTGTTTCCCTCACTCCTCGTTTGGTGACTCCAATTATGTTGTATTTGATCACTTGATATTGTGCCAGAATTCATTAATGCCCTAGGTTTTTTTTCATTCTTTTTTCTCTGTGTTTCATTTTAGATAGTTTCTATTATTTTGCCTTCAAGGTCACTAATCTTTCCTTCTGAAATGTATAATCTATTGTTAATCCCAGTCAGTATGTTTTCCATTTCAGACAATGTAGTTTTCATCTATAGAAGTTCAACTTGGGTTTATTTTTATACCTTGATATCTCTATTTAAAATATTCAGTATTTCCTCTTGCTTCTGAACACGTGAAGTACAGTCATTGTAACTGTTTCAGTGTCCCTGTCTACTAATTCTGTCATTTCTCAGTCCACTTCAGTTGACTGATTTCTCAGTGAGAATGAGTTGTATTTTTCCACTACTTTTCATACCTGGTAATTTTTGATTGAGTGTCAGATATTGTGAATTTTACCTTGTCAGGTGCTGGATATTTTATAGGAATTATAAGTATCCCTGATCTGTGTGCTGGATGCAATTAGGTTACTTGGAAACAATTTGATCCCTATTACGTCTTGCTTTTAAGTTTTGTTAGGCAGGACTAGGGCTGCATTTAGTCTAAGGGTATTTTTCCCCTCTTACCGAGGCAAGACCCCTCTTCATACTCTAGCCAATTCTCATGAATTATGAGGCTTTCCTCTCTGGCAGTTGGAAACAAGCACTTTTCCCATCCCTGCATGATCCCTGAGAATTTTGCTTTCTAAATATTTGGGGTGGTTCTTTCCCCAGACTCAGTTTCCTCACATGTATGTGATAATCAGTGCTCTGCTGAGGACTTGAGGGAGACCTCTGCAGATCTCCAGAGTTTTTGTGCTGCGAGCTCTCTCCTCTCTAGTCTTCAGGACTCTAAACTCTTTCTTCAGGCAGTAAGTGAATAGAGCTTATCTTGCTTGTTTTCCATCCCTTGAATGGAAATGTCCAATGTCTTGAGTGCCATTCTTTCATATATTTTTTTCTAATTTTTTAATTATTTAGGCAGAAGGATAAATCTGGGCCTCGTTACTCCATCTTGACCAGAAACAGAAGTTCCAGTTAATTAATACAGCCACAAATGACTAGTGGCTAACCT